AGTGTGTATACATTAATGTGTGATTGAGTTACACACAGATTAAGTGTGGTTCGAATTTCGTGGGACGAGAAATGAACAAGGGAAAATTAGATAGAAGAAAAGGACGGAAACAAACGGGTGTACATAACAAACGTGTGTAGGAAACAAACACGTATAGAACGCAGTCATATGTAAAAAGAAGTCACATGTAGAACGCAATCGGCGTGAAGGTATTCACTTGAAGCACTCATGGCCGTAGTGACGTGTAATGGAACATGGCAGCATGAACAGGGGAGTGTACTAAATCTAAAATTCTGTTAAAAAAAAAAAAAAAAAAAAAAAAAGTTATTACACTTTTCCTAAGCTCTTTATATTTCTGTAAACATTTTAAATTTAGTAAACTCTTGTAAAAAATCTTTTTGGCATCATTTTTAAGTTTTTGAACTTTTTAAACTTTTTGAAGTCATGTCAAATTTGTCTTTGTAGAAGAAACAAAAAATTCATTACGTCATGAAAACGCGAGGTGTGAATCCAGACGGATTCGCAACGGGCAAGTTGCAGGGAGGTTAAAAAAAAGTAAATAAAAAAAAAAAAAAAAAAAAACGAAACGGAAATGAGCGGGGGACAAAGTGATTAAGCTGTTTGTCAAGCGAGTTGGCGGGCGCTTTACAACGCGCCGGAAGGACAAGTGGGTGATTAGATGAGCACGCGACACAGATGAGCGAACGAGCTGCAGCCGCGCGTGCCCCTGAGACGTCTACGACGCAAATATAAAGATATATATACGCAACGAAAATCACAGAGGTGCTAATTTGAATCGTGTTCCGCGTTCCCGAACACGGAATGAAGCGCACGTGGAGTTGGCAAAAACAAAAAACAAAAAACACACATGCATAACACAACAACGGCGCCAAATTGTAGTGCATAAATGCTAGACGCGAAAAATTAAATTTAATTAAATTAACTTGAATTAGGGAAAATTAATTAAAAGTATGACAGACGCAAAAAAAAATAAATGAAAATAAAAAAACAAAAAAAAAAAAAAGGAAATAGATAGAGGTGCAATTCGCTCTGCAACGGAATTGTACTCACGCATCTTCAAGGAAAATTCGTTAAAGCGGAGCAGGACAGTATGACGTCAATCGAAATGGAAAAAAAAACGAATAAATGCCCTTAGACAACACCGTTGTAGAATTTGTGTCATGCGCGTGACGCGTCCATACACACATGAACGAGTTAGACGCTTAAAGTGCGACGGGCGGTAAAACAGGAAAAACGCATATACAAATTTATGCGCACGTAAAGAACAGCTGTTTGCTTCGTCCACTTGGACATAATTTTGTTTTTTATTTTGTCTTCATATTGAAGTGTGGAAAAGGCGAAAGTGGTGAATGTAACAAACATGACAAAAGAAGTGAAAAACAAAATTTCCAAATTGGCACACCGCGCTTTACTGTAAATACCACTCGACTGTGTATATAAATGTTTGAACATCGAAAAGGCGTAGGAAAGGGAGTATGCATATTGTACACACATTGTGGATGCAAATATTTATTAACACAACACATTTCTATATGCTTAATTCTACATGCGCTTATTTGCCCCCTCTCACATGTTCTAGAGCAATTCGACTTGTGCTGCTCAAATAGGTGAGAAAATAAAACAGTTGGTTTACTCCAAATTGGAGCTCAACAAAATTGCCTTTTTTTTTTTTTTTAATTTTTCACACATGAAAGCAAAATGAAGTATATCCCTCGTGCGACAAAAAAAAAACTGTCTCTTCTCATTTGTATCCGTCTAAACGTTGTTATGTGTATAATTTACGTGGTCTAATAAGTTGACACTCGTTCTTTCATATGTGTGCAGCACTTCTTACAAATGCTGCCTGGGGAAGCAAAACAACAGTTCGCCCAAGTCTGTGGTCTGTTTTGGAAGTGACGGGACAAATAATAAAAAAAAAAAAAATATGAACAGGTCATAAAAAGATGATAAAAAAAAATATGAACTGGTCATAAAAAAAAAAAAAAAAAAAGGGAAAAAAAAAAAAAAAAAAAAAAAAATGAACTGGTCATAAAAAAAAAAAAAAAAAAAGGACGATTAAACGAACAATTTGTCGCATTTTTTTTTTTTGTACCAAAAATACGGCGTTGCTTTTTTTGTTTTTTTTATTTTTGGCATTATCACAAATAATTTTGTCGCGAGAAAAAAAGGTGGCACTCATTTGCTTGCGCATATAAAATACTCCCCGCTTCATCCTCTTTTACACACATATTGGGGAGAACGAACAATTGTGAAGTTATCCATTCAGGTGTTCACCTGTTCTGCTTTTATGTCGCCTTATAAGCGTAACAGAAGATCAAATAGTACACAACTTTTTGCGTTCATTTCCTTTTAAGGATAAGGCAATTTTTACTTCCAACACATGCGCTGACGTGACACAGCATGCACAATTGAGGCAAAAAAAATTTGGCACTTAATTTCGTGGCCTCCAAAAAAGGATACAATTTTTGCCGTGTAGACCACTTTTGTTTCGTTGTCCTCCCCAAGGGGAATTATTGAAAAAAATGGCAAAAAGCATGAATCCTTTTCGCGCCTCCATGCATGTGATATTACCACCTGGTTCGTTTTTAAAATTGAAAGAAGTATGATATCTGCACCATATTTTATAGCAAAAATGTGAATAAGGAAAATCGTTACCGAGGTACACACAAAAAAAAGAGATAGGTGGGTGGTGACTTACGTGTATATGCTTACCCCAAGTGGTTTTTTCCTTTGGGGGGGATTAAAAAGAGAAGACGAAGTGCGCTCGGGGTGTCCACAAGGTTGCTAAAACGGTTGTGGGCGGAAATGGCCCTATGGCCTAGCAGTAGCGGGTACCACATTAGCACGGTGTAACGCATTAACGCGTTAACATTTACAAAACACAAGGAAAACGCCACTGGTGTGTGTCTCTCTCTGTGAGCAACTTCACACCAAGTTGAACTTATACTTGTGCGTGTTAAACGCAATCTCTGCTTTGTTCCTCTCCACTTTTGTAATGTCGTAAAAATCCAGGGACTTTATTTGGGGCAGGTAGTGAATAACGAAGGGGCTGAAAAATGGGAAGGGACCACAACACAACTACTGCCATATGTATATATACATATATAAAAATGAAGCTACGCGGAGGAACTGCGTAGAGGGAAACGTGTGACACGCCGAAGACGCCCTTCGCACGCGCCCATTTCTGTACCGATAGAACTTGCCGTAGACATCCATAACGGGGTTATTCTGCACAGTGAGTTTTCTCAATTTGGACAGAGAAGCCAACTTTTGAATTTCCTCAATACACTCAATCTTATTTGAATGCAAGTACAACACCTTTAGGTTACTCAGGCAAAGCAACTGCTCTCCCACTCCGACCAGGTCATTGAATGATATGTCGAGACAAATGATGCCAGAATAGTAATCTCCTAACATTTGCATACCCTTCTGTTGGTAGATGTAAGGTAGGAGGTCCTTTAACAACTCTGTGTTTTCCAATTTGTTATTATTTATGTTTAATATTTTCCTGTTTGTGGAAAAATTTATTTCTTTCTTATTATGCATGTAAACCATTTTTTGCAGTTCGTGCAAATCTTTCTTCTTGTAGTTAATGATTTGGTTTGTGCCTGCCCAGATTTTTGTCGTTTTTTCAAGGCTGATGTATTTTTCCACTCTTTGGCTCTCTTCATTGTTCACGTTTTCGTTGAGGCTTTTCCTTTTTTCAGAGCTGTCCGATTCTTCATTGGACTCTGCGCTCTGGGGGTGGGGGCGGGGCCACCATGTAAAAAGGAGGGTTAATGAACAGGGGTACTGCAAAGCATCAACGGAAGTGTTGCCCTTCGTGGGGAATGTTCACCCTTTAGGGGTGGTGTCCGATGGGGTAACAACGCTGTACAGATGCACCCTACTCGGATGGCATCTTTAGTGCTCTTTCCCTGCGCTCACGTTTTTACCTTACCAAAGAATCGTTCGCCCCATAATACCTGTGCGCACTTCCGTACTCCTGGTAAATGGACTCCAGCGAATTCAGACTATCCATTTTGTCCAGCGGGGAGAGAGCCGATCAGCGGTAAGGAGAGGTGAGGAATGATGCGCGACGGTTTGTAAATGCACCCCGTACGCGCTTCCACGCGGATGAATGTCGATGCTCCGATGGGTCCCCTCCTACAAAGGGGAACTGTTCTAAATTTCTCCTTTTCACCAAATAAAATGGTTTACTTATGAGGGAAAAATGATTAACGTCATGTGTAGGAGCAGTGCACGACGCGCTTCCAAATGCACACGCTCGGGGTGAACCTCTGCGCTTTATATTTCGCTGAGCAGGAAATAAAAAGGGGGTGAAAACGACAAGGGAAAGGAAGAACGGCGAAAATACACGCCTTGCAAATGATATGCTGTTTGGGTGATGTTCCTTCGCAACGCGGGTAAGAGCACAAAAAAAAAAAAAAAAAAAAAGAATTATTACGCAAAATTGTGTGGAAAATGAAACATTCTCACAGACACACATTTGAGACAAATAAAGACACAAAAAAAATTTAATTAAAAATATTTGTTCCCCTTTGTTGAAGCAACAGAGGGAATCGCTAACAGGGTAAAAATAATAACAATAATAATAATAATAATAATAATAATAATAATACTGATCCAATGGAGGGAATAAATGAAAGAGAGTGAAAAAAAACAAAAACGCTTGTTCCCACTTTTCGTATTAAATTTAAAAAGTGGCTAAGCTACTGTCTCTTCTCACCCGCTTGAAATCATTATGAACACACACACAAAAAAAAAAAAAAAAAAAAAAAAAAATCGCATCAGCGTTTTGATAACGACTAAATGATGGGGAGGGGGGATGAAGAACTCTGCAAACGGGAAACGCGTGTGTGAGTTCCTACAAGTGGACAACGTCGCGTTTGCCACCCATGAGGGGGGCATGATGCAGCTCTATACACGTTAAAAACATTTACGAAATTAGCTCGTTCATTTGGCTAGCTCTGCTTCCTTCAATTTATAAGCTTGGCCTTCTTCAGAAGCTTCCTTTTCATCTTTTCCGTCTCTTCAATATTTTTGAGTTTCACCTCGATGGGCAAGGGAACCTCCGTTATGCCTGTGATGCAGTTTAGCTTCTCTGTGTTACTGGTAACAGAGCTTTTGACTTTTAGGTGGTCGGAGAGTTTGTACAGGTCCTTCACTGGGTCATCATCGACATGCGCATGGCCATCCCCATCGCCATACCCATCCCCATCACTGGCACCGCCGTCGCCGCCCCGTTTGGAGTTGTTCCGTTTATCGTCTTGGTAGAATTGACCCATATTTTTTCGAATGAAATTTTCTATGTGTGCCTCTTCAATTTCCTTCTCAGTGACATTTTTGGTGAAATGCTTTTCGTGTAATTTGTGTTCATTTTCTTCGTCCTGTGTGGTTACGTTATCACTACTTAGGTTGTCCGCATTTATTCCTTTCTTCTTCAACCTCACATATTGTAGTAGTTTTAAATTTTGGGATGCTTTTAATTTATTTAATTTGTTTTCTTCCTCATCCTCCTCATCTTCACTTGCATGATTTTTTTTTTCTTTTCCGGTCCCCACGGCAGGAGCCACATTCAGTTCCTCGTCTTTCGAAAATGGCACTCTCCTGTTCCCCTTACCATCCATGCGGACCTTCCGCTTCTTAATCATCTTGCAAAAGCGCCCACGGGATAATACAAAATGTGATACAAAATGCGGTACAAAATGCGGTACAGAATGCGGTATAAAATGCGATAGAAAATGTAGTATAAAATTTGGTACAAAATGCGATACATGTTGTGGTGGTGAAAAAAAGTGGGCTGTGCGGATCGTCGCCTTACGCGATAAAGAGATGTGACCGATGAGCTGCTATGGCTGTGCTACGTTATGGGTTTTTTTTTTTTTTTTGTCAATTTTGTGCGTCCCGTCCAGGCGGTTTATTATACCCCCTCAGTCCTTAACGAGGTTCATCCCGTACAAAACACCCACTTCAAATGTCAATCATGTGGGGACAAAAAAAAAAAAAATTGTCACCTTTAAAGATGTATAAAAAAATAAATACGTGTCACAATAGTTATGCAGACGAGCGGGGAAGACGCACCTGATGGAGCACCACGCTGTTTCGCTTATGCTTTCTCCACTCCACCCGTTGTGTTCAAAAAATATGTATACGTCGGAATGCCTTATTATATATGTGCAGTCACTGGCACGTACGCGAACGGCGTGGAAAATTAGTCCTTCCGTGGCTGTATATATAATTTACGTGGACATCCTTGTGGACAATGTTTTATTCATTTTTTTTTTGTTCTCTGTCTCCCCTTTATTTGTAGAAACACAAAATAAATAGCACCAGTTAATGCGTTGGTGTGACATAAGAATTAGCTAAATGCGCGGCCTTTTTTTTTTTTTTTTTTTTTTATTTGTTCATAATTTTACTAAAGGGAAGAAAGGACTTTTTATGGACAATTGGCAAGTGCATGGGGCAATTGCGGAAAACGGGGGGTGTCCCCAAAAGTTGTTCCAATTTTGACCGCGCAGGAAGCAGCCCCGCACATATAAATGCCGTGGGAGAAACTTTTCTCATTGTTCCCATTGGAAGGAGAAAAGCTATCCCAAGGGGGAAAACAAAAAAAAAAAAAAAAAAATTCCAAACTTTGCAACAGCAAAATGTCCACATTTGTACATTTTAAAATGGCAGAATAATTCTCTGCGTCTGTGTTCCTTCTATGGATTATAAAACGCATCAATCATTTCCCCCTAATCCACACCGCTTCCTTCCTGCTTCCCCCTTTGTTTTTTTTTTTTTTTTT